TCCTTCCCTCCCTCCCCGCGAGTGTCCCGAGTGCCCGAGGGCAGTCAGGAGCGGGATGGCTTCTCGCGTTCCTTCTGCCCGCGGCTTCGCGGGCGCTGCGGTTGGTGGTTCCGCGGGGGTTCCAGGGAACCGCGGTGGGGGCACAGCCCGACGAGGCTCAGTTTGTCCGTCAAGGCATCCGTATTTCCGTGCCCCGCGGCCCTGTCTGTCATGTAGGGAAGGCTGCCGTGCTGCAGCCCAGGCACGTGTCTTTGGCTGGCTGCATTGACGTACTGGGAATGCGTGTGTGCCTGTTTGTGCATGACGTGGTGAGTGTGAGATCTGCGTGAGCCGGCTGCGTTGTGCGTGGCGTTTGCATATTTTATGCTTGGGAAGGCAAAGAACAGCAATTTTTCATGAGCAAATATTTGCATATTTTCCACTCGTTCGAGCAGATAAAGCATTTCAATTCTCTGTTGGATCCTCAAGAGAACCAGGAGCATCTTCTCTTCAAAGATGTTTCCATTTCTTATATCTCCCCATCTCTACAGGCTACCCTATTCCAACAACAGATTAACTGCTTCCTGCCCCCTCCACACACCCCCTTGTTCCATATCCGTGTACAACAGCTGAATCAGAATGTGGCCTGGACAGTTTTGCTGTTACCTGATTCGAGCTGCTGTGATTCTCTGCTGATGACAAATACAGCGGCTCCCTAACAACAGCTCCAAATGACATTATGTGTGGGCTGTGTTGGTAACAGCCTGGAATGCACCCTCACTTCTCCACAGTGAAGCCCCTCAGCCGTCACCTTTCACTGCCCTTCCAATTTCTCTCCTGAAGTTCCACCGCAGAGCAGAAGGGTCACACTAAGTGGGTCCAAAGCGGCCGCAGACCACCATTGTGTGGTTGGGTTTGCAGGTATGGTGGGTGGGTATGTGTGGGGAAGGTCATTTGGAAGGTCCAGATGTCATCTCCCAGTTTGAGCTCATGCATGTGTGCATTAAGGTGTGTGTGCTGCATTCTTGGTGTTCGTGCTTAGGCCAAGAGGTACGTGCATGTCTGGATATGTGTGCATCTGTGTGGGTGGCCACATATGGTCTCATACATACATCTATATGCACTTGAATCAGTGCACCCACAGACACGAATATGTGCGTATATTTATACACATTCACGCAGTTGCATGTACCCACACATACACGCATGCAATCATGTAAACGCTCATTTGTTTGCATGCATGCACAACGCATAGGAATGCCTCTCTGTATCTGCTCTTGTGCACTCTGACGTGAGCATATAAACTCTCTAAGCTGCTGACAGAATGGGTTCCCTGTGTCTCTAACCCCTCATTTATGATCACACATTTGCTGAGAAGAGGCATTGCACAATGCTCCTGAAATCATTGCGGCCCTTTCTGGTCTTGCAGCTCCGATCGCTACGTGACGAGAATAAAACCTTTTGTGCAGCACAGGGCTTGATGGAGCCCTTATCTCTGTGTCTCTGCACTCAGAATAGTAAAATCCATTTCCATATCTAACTGGAAAAAATCCCCCTGAACACGTCCAGAATTTTCACTTAGCCACTGCGCACAGTCCCCGTGGCCTCTGGGTTGCCTGGAGTCAATCGCACCATCGTTAAGGAAAGAGAAAGGGATCACAGAGGCAGTCAGATTAATGCTATTACTACAGGAAAAGCTGGGGATTCACCAACAGGGAGAAAGAGCTGAGGAGAGAGCAGGGGTCAGAAGGCAGCAGGGTACCGTCCATCATTCCAAATGCCTGTTCCTGTGAAAAACAGCATTTTAATCAGTGGTGATAGTTTGCAGAATTCTGTAGCATTTGTTTTCTCCTCATGAATTTTGGACAAAAAAAAATACTTTTTTTTTTTTCCCCTCCTCCAGTCTTACTTTGTGTTCATCTTTTTTCCACCAATTTGTCACTGCAAAATAGGATGCATCATAGGGAGGCGAAGAAAACACAAGACAGAAAAATATGATGCTTGTCTCTTTTCTTTTAAACTCCTATTTAAATCTCAAGTTTTTTTGCAGGTCTCCCTGGAACATATTTTGTTTTTCCCAGCAGGCTCCCCTGCAGAGCTGTCTTGGTGGGCGCTCAGATTCTGTGTATCAAAATGATGTCTCCTTGGCACAATTGCTTGGTGCTGGCATTGCAGTGCTTGGGCTCTAAGGGATGTCAGTATTTTAAGAAGCCAACCAGTCGATGGAGTTTCTTGAATGGTGATTTTCAGCAGATGGAGCTGCAAAGGCGTGTGAAATGAAGTCTCATCTCGATTTGGTGGTGAAGGAGACCGTCTCTGTTAAGTGTGTTGGCAGCTGGGGAACTCCCCCGTCTCCCCACGGCAGCTGAACAGCCACTCCATGTATAAGGAAACCCATCCTATATCTGCCCCCCACCCACCTGAGCTGCCTCCTACAAGGTCCTCACTCACCATCACATGCCTTCTTCAGTGCCTGGTCATCAAACACAAACAGTGCTACAAGCTCCCCCGATAATACCATTTTTCCTCTGTCCTACAGAGATTGCTGTGCCAGTGGAGTCCAGCATTCCCTTTGCTCTGGTCCTCATTGCAAGAGGAGCAACACAGACCCCTGTTTAAAGTGCTATGTTGTCCATCTATCTGACCACTTGGTAGTCAGACCTTTTACTCTTGCTACCATTTGTTGCCCCTTACAGAGGCAGAAGCTTTGTCAGTCCATCCTCAGTCTGCTAGGACTGCTTGATTGTGCTTCATCCAGTGGATGTTGCAGGAGCTCCCCGAGAAAATAAAAGAGGCTTTTTTTAGTCCAACAGATTTTATCCCACACCCATGAATAGTTTGGCTGCTTTTCTCACTGGAGCCCACAGTGTGGGAAGCTGATGCATGGATGGAAGGAGGAGGAGATATAAAGAGGTAGCAGAGACAAGAATCTGACTACCAAGCACTTTCTTTTCCCTGTGAGTTGAGCCCGCACTCCTGGGTGACTGCCCGTGCTCAGGGGAGCAAGTGCACTTTGAAAGAGGAGCTAAGCAGTTGCTGTATGGTATCATTGGTAGCTCAGCTACTGAGGCTTAGGCATGAACAGCTTGGTGTCCCAGGCTTAAAGAGCAAATAAGAGGATGTAGGATACCTCCTTTCTCATGGAGGTGATAGCAGTACCAACAGCTGAGTGCGCAGCTGAATGTCTTTGGTTGTGTTTGCAGTTCCTTCCCTCTCTTCCTGAGCTATCTAATCTGTCTAGGAGGTGTCTCTTCACCTCATGCCCTGTGACAGTCCTTTCCTGAACTCAGGTGCCCTGCACTGCAGTTCCTCTGATGCCTGCCAGGCCTTCACTTATCACACTGCCTTTGTGTGACTTTGACTCTTGCTTCCTCATAAAGTGATTCTGTTGCCACCATCCTCAGCTGCTGCAGCTTGTTCTGCTACCCAGCCCAGGGCTTTTGGCTTCTATCTCAGCACACCTGGTCCCATGCCACCCCTTCACTTCTCTTGCCTTCTCCCAAGTGACCTGTGAGACATCTTTCCATCACCCAGCCAGCTCTCATAACTGACCCTCCACAGACTACGTCCTCCAGCATCTCCTGACCTCAGGGAGACATGTCTTTTCTGATGGGTCCCTCCATCCCATTTCTCAAAATTATTTATAGAGAAAAGTGCCCAAATATAACCAAGGGCTCTGGTATGAGGACCATTTTGGTGGCTGTAGCTTAGCAATAGTATTCACGGAGAAGTTAAAGGTGTGGGAGGAATGAAGCCAAAGCAAAGGAGACCTTCATCCCACCCACTCTTGTACATTGTTGCTGTTCTAACCTACATGCTCACCTGGACCCACCCACAGCTTCCCTCCAACAACGAATGCACAGGAGCAAGCACTGGTCTAACCCTCTCAGCAGCACACATACTCTCACACTCTTACCCAAGCATTCACATGTGCGCACACATTTCCATAAATACTTGCATGCCTGCAAAACTGTACCTGCACTGAAACATTCCACAGTTGCATCAACACACTCCCTCATCTGTGTTTGTATACACTTATACACATGCATACCCCGTCATGTATCCCTGTACACATTTACATACATCACACAGGTTAGCATCAGTGCCCAACCCACTAGCATCTCCCACCAGCCTGACTCCTCTGTCTCCCATCCTCTGCAGCCATTCTCATAGATGTACAGTCCAGGAAATAAACTTTTGCATACAACAATTTCTGTGCACATGCAAACACATCAACATAATTTCTTCACCATTCTGAACCAAATACTCTACCATTTCCCACAAGACGAATCAATTCCTAGTATTGCACAGACTCTCTGCGACCATAGCTAATATACACTGGAGATCTCCCGACCTCCCTCTGCTTCCTGCCCGCATCCTCTACTGATAGATGCCTTGATCTCTTGTGTCAGCCAAACAGTACTCCATGTAGAGATCAACTCAACCCAAAGACATTGTGTATTCTCAGAGAGACAAATCTGTAGCACCCCCTCCCCTCAACACACAGAATGGTTCTTCCCTGTTGACCTTTTAAGTCCAAAGGCTTTTTGTTTATTTACAGTAAGGCTTAGGGAGAGGAAAAGGAAAGGGCATTTCAGCTTGCAAGAAACACTGCCTCTGATTCATGTTGCATTGTCTTTTTCTCTACCTTTGTTACATCTCCCACCGGGGTGCAGAGACACCAGGAAAACCCTGAAGAATGTGAGGTGCAGCAAAGAAATGTTCTATTTTTTTCTCCCAGGTAAGTCTCATCAGCCTGCCTGTAGTCCATGAGAGCCTTGAAAAGAAAGAGAAGCAATTAGTGGTCTTCAGCCACAGCCAGCGTGGGCAGGAAGTCTGTCCCCAAGACATTTTTAAGAGCTAGAGAGGGGCCAGCTATGCATGCAACTGGCTGGTATGTCTTTGCTGCAGACATTTTTCCTTCCTGCTTGTTTTTCAGGGTAAACCACTTCTCGTGTTTATAAGGAGGATAATCAAGGCACTGGGATGCCTACATGTAGTATATGCCATTTGGGAACTTCCTTGGAGTGCCATAATCAGATGGCAGTGATGCCCTCCACAGCTGGGTCATCTAAGGACAGATCATGCAATCTAGGCCTGATCCTGCTCTCTCTGTACTGTCAGTGCCCAGCACCTCTTCAGCTTCCCCTGGATACAGTCCATTCTTTACCCAGTACCACATAAACCTCAGATGTCTTTTCCAAAGCCAAGAAAAATGCCTCGCTTTTTCTACAAGTTCATGGAGCCCTCTTCATCCTTAAACAGACTCTTGGACTTTAATACGCCTTTGTATCGATGTCTCCCATTGCCTTTGAGGTGGAAAAGCAGACAAGGTGAAGGGGACATCATGTTCCAATGTCTCTTTCCCCTGCACCATCCCTTTCATCATAAATAACTGACATGCAACTTGTTGCTCTTTTCACATCCCACAGGCTCCTCAGGGAGTGGTTTTTGCTCATTGTTCTCTCCTTCTCCACTGCTTAGAGGGCGCTCCTGCCTGCCATTTCCATTCTGGGTGATCTTGCTGATCTCACCCTCTTCCCTTTCATCATCAGTCTTCTCCGGGGGGCCTGCTGGCACCTCCTGGCTCTGGACTCGGCGGGATGGTCTAAAGATGGCCCTCCGGAAGCCCTGCTTGAAGCGGTAGGAGAGGAAGCCATAGATGATAGGGTTGGCACAGCTATTGGCGTACGGCAGCACCACCACGAGGAAGTAGACGCCAAAGAGGGATGGCTCCTCTGGCAGTGGGCAGACAACATTGATTATGTTGAGGACATAGAAGGGGAGCCAGCAAAGGACGAAGACAGCCACAACAGTCACCACCATGCGGGTCACTCTGCGCTCTGAAAGCTTGTGCTTGGAGGACAGAGCCCTCACCCTCCTGCCAGAGGAACGAACCTTCACAACAATCAGAAGATAGCAGAGACAAATCACCAGCAGTGGTCCAAAGAAGCCCAGCGTAGCAGTGTAGATGATGAAGCCAGCCCTCCACACCGAGGCTGGCTCTGGCCACTGGATGTGGCACGTACTCATCCCTAAAGGGACATCCGAGAAGACAACCACGGGCAGCACGACTATGGAAGACAGCACCCACACCGTTGCACTCACAGCCTTGGCCACCCGTGCTGTCCGCCATTTGGAGGACTTCCCTGGGTGGACCACGGCCAAGTAGCGATCAACACTCATCACCGTCAGGCAGAAGATGCTGGTGAACTGGTTGATGGCATCCACGGCCATCACCAGGCGGCACATGAAAGAACCAAACGGCCAGTAGGAGAGGGCATTTTGTGCAGCCAGGAATGGCAGGCCCAGCATGAAGAGCTCATCAGCTAGGGCCAGGTTCAGGATGTAGACGTTGGTCACCGACTCACTCACAGAGTGCTGTAGGACCACATAAATGACCAGAGAATTCCCCACCAGCCCCACCACGCAGACAATGAGGTAGACCACGGGGATGAGGACACCGCTGACAACTACACCAGGGCTGACGGTGGTGGAGCTGTTGGGGGTGGTGAAGCCTTCCCAGCTGCTAGAGGCATTCTCCTCCTCCAACACTGCTGGTGTGGGGAGGCTGAAAGCAGAAGTGTTCATAGCAGAGGCAGGGAAGAGGGCAACGGGCAGTGTCCTTGCAGGATCAGTTAGCAATCTGGAAATGAGAGGGGGAGAAAAAAAAAACATTGATAGTGGGGACATGACAGCTGAACAAGCCACAGATAAAATCACTACATTAACTGTGTTTTAGATATGGACAGGTGTGGGAAGTCAAGGTGAGTTTGTGGATGCTGGCAGCCACTGGAAGATCTAGGACAATATCAAACCCATCTAGTCCTGCAAGGCACAGTGGGCACAGAGGGACACACAGTGATATGGCTCAGTGTGGACCAATGGATCTTCTCTCCTAGGGAAAGATCCTCTAGGGAAAGAACAACAGACTAGGATAAAGGCAGGGAAATTTCTCATTTTCTGCTAATGGCTCCAATACTGAGGACAGTCACCAGAGGCCTGATTCTCATTTATAAGTGCAGGTGCCTTAGAAACAAAAGAGGGAAAAGCATTCAGTGACAAAGCCATTCCAATTACGACTCCCCCATTCTCTGAGTATTCTCTTGCTTTCTGCAACTCTTTCTGGACTGGCCAGTTTATTGTTGGCCCTACCAGCAGAAGCAAAAGCACCTTCTCTCTCAATAGCAGCTGAGGTCAGCACCTGACCTGGAGAGTAGCTATTTTGTGTTATGCTAGTTTGAGAGCAAAGGAAGAGCCAGATTATTTGGGCTATACCAAGAGGGATCAGTCCAGGTCTCTCTTGTCTCTTTCTCTCATCTTCTCTCTCACTGTCTCCCTCTCTCTCTCTTTCTCTCCCTGCCTCTCCCTCTCTCTCTCTGCCTCTCTCTCTCCTTCTGCACCCTGCAAAACACTGCTAATGACAGAGCCCTGCTGGCCCACCTGTTTGCAACATCAAAGCAGTGTCCCAGCCCTCCTAATCTGAGGTGCCCAATTGCCCATCACGTCAGGGTTTGGCATGGAAACAGCACTCGGCTCACTTAGAGACAGCCTTGAGCAAACAAGTTCTCCATTCACTACAAGGTCGCTGCTGACACTGGGTGAGAAGCTGCAGGGAGAGAAGAGACAGTTAAGAGACAGACGTGCCTTTTGTGAGGGCTCTGGGTATGTGAAATACAGAGCCCAGCACGAACTACAGACCAGAGACACCCTGGCAAACCTTATGCAGGGGAGCTTTGTGATGCTTTTAGGATCACTCTAGCTCTGGTAACATTTTCTGGAGGTGTGGACTGACAGGGTCATCCTCCTGATGAATTAGCTTCTTGGAAGGGAACAAGGACCCTGAGGCTCACCTTTACGCATCTCAGCAAATCATCTAGGACTCTGAAGCTCTTTTTCTCTGGAAAATAAAACTGGGGATTCTAAAGGAAATACTCCCAATCTTAACTACTTTCAGGAGGCCAGAAACACTCCAGAGACTTTTCTCCTGAATGGGATTCTCTGTGGCATCACAACTTCCTTCACAAATGTCTTAATATTATAACTTTTATTCTGGCTTTTGTAGATGTCCTACCAAGTTCTGGAAACACTAGGGGGGACCTGAGCTTTAGATGGATTCATTGGATATCAGGCAAGCAAACCCAGCAAAGTCCACAGATGTATCAAATCTTATGCTGAAGGGACTTCATCTAGTAGGCCCCATAAAAACACAGTTGGGCAAGTATGTCTTAAGGCCATTTCTACAGGCTATTGCATGAATGTTTCCTGCTTTGAAGCATTTGAGCTTTGAAGGACTGAAATTGTTTAAATTTTCTTTATTTGCAAGTGCCTTGGGATGTGACACACTGTCCTGATAGAAGCCCAGCTTTTGGGGTCCTGCAGCACTCGATTGTCCCACACATTATGAGTGGCTGTAAAAAATGGGCAGAGTGCGAAGTGATTTGAAACTCTGAACTGAAGGATCTTTTGTCTGATATTTTTTCCAATGCTGTTCTAGTGACACAAATCACTTGTTGGAGGAAAAAGGAGGGCAGTGGCTGCTCTGGGTACAAAGATCCCTGAAACGAGTGGCAGAGGCCTGAACAGTATGTTCATAAGAAGATGATCCTCTACAAGGTGGAGACATAGTTAGGAATTCCTTTGGATGTTTCTCCTGCATGCAAATGAATTAAAAAGAAGAAGAAAAAAAAAGCCAGACATTTGGAGAGAGAGCCCTACAAATATCAAATGTAGATGGAGATACTGATGCTGAGGCTGAAGAGCATCTGGGGTCCAGACCTCAAAACTGGTTGTTCAGGCTGTGGTTTAGCAACACAGTAAACCCAGCTTCAGGGCCCCAGAAACCCTATAAAAAATGCTAGGGCATGCAGCAACCCCCATGGATTTTCTATAAACTCATTTTTCCTGCTCAGACAGATGCAGTGAAGAAACTTAAAGCAGATGTGGTCTGTCTCTGACATTCTAACTTAGTCAAGTACTACGCATCAGCTCAAACACCATGTCACACATTCTGGATAGCTTGACAGAACAATCACTGGATACCAATGCCTCATCTAGCTTGGATCTACTCTGCTGGCTGCTTTGGCAGCACACGGCGTAGGTAAGAACTGGGGAGGAACTGTGGCCTCAGACTGATAGTGTGTTGGCATCCCCTTGGAGTCTGTCCCTTATGTGGACAGCACCTGTTGCAAGAGGCTAGGCATCTGCTAACAGATGCTACCAGAATGTACCTGGCTCATGCAGCTGGAGAGCAGGAGGAAGGTAGAGAGGTAGGAAGAGCTGGGAAATTGATGCTACTGCTTTCTTTAGAAAAAAACCAAATTTTATATATATGTATTTCTGCATTGAATGAAAGGAGGAGGTGGATGCTAAAAGCTGAGCTTCAACTTGGTTACAATACATGAATAGAAACTGGGAGGGACCACAGAGACCAATAACTTGCAGCCCCTCATGTCCCCCTCCCCACCTGTCTCCTCGGTTTCCCACGGCCCTGCTTGATCTCAGGACTCCACTGTCTCACCTCAGGGCTGAGCTGTCTAGTAGGGACCAGGATGGACTGGCAGAGTTGGAGGGTAGGGAGCCGTGGAGGGGGAAGGTCGGCAGATTTCCTTCTCTGGAACTGCAGAGTTAACTTCTGCATGGACTCATACCCGCGGGTGACATCTGGGACGAGCGGGCAGAGCCGCCGGGTACTTACATGTCGTCGGGACGTACATTTTCCTCTGCTTCACCGGGAGAATCCGTGTCATGTTTTTCCCCTTCCCCTTTCTTAAAAGCGGTAGAGCGGAGCGGTCCCGGAGGGAACGCGCCCACCGTGCGCTACCGGAGACGCGAGTCCTTCTTCCCGCACTTGCCCATCGCCCACTCCGCGGCTGGCGTGGGAGCGGGGCCCACGGCCGTGCCCGCGGGCGACCGGCCGGGGCTGCGCGGTCCCTCAGCCCCACGCCGGAGGGTCTGTCCCACTCGCTGCCCCCGCCATCTGCGGAGCTCGGGCAGAGGGAGCGGAGCGGCGGCACCGGGGGACGGGTGCCGGCAGCCAATGGGCGCCACGCACGGAAACACTGGCAGGAGAAGGAGGAGAAGAAGGGGATGGACGACAGGGCAGGAGAACCAGGAGCGGGAGGAGACACCGGGAGGGAGAATAGAATGGGGGGAGAGAGGCGCAAGGAGAGGGGCAAAGGGATAGGGGAGCGTGGAAGACGGAGAGGATGAAGGAATGAGGAGTAAGAGAGGGAGGTAAAAGAAGCTGAAGACAGTGTAGGAGAGAGGGAGAGGAAGAAGAGGGATAGAGAGAGCAGCTATGTGGTGGGAGAGTGGCATGCAGGAGGGGGCGATTTGTGTCGGCTTCCCTAGGCAGGCACCCAGGAGACGACCTCCCTGTTTCAAGGGTCTTGCAGACAGGACTCTGTTGCTCAGAGCTGCAGGGACACGGCAAAACCTGGCTGGCAAGATGCTGAGAAATCGAGGTAGATTTTGAGCACACAAATCCTTCTCCCTTCTATTCTGTGCTATGAGTACCTCCAGATGGATGGAGATGGGGGCAGAGGGCCAAATAGGGGGCTGTCTGTTTCAACTCCTTCCCTTATCTGGCTCCATGAACAATTTCTTTTCTTTTGCACTTTATTTGTGAAAATGCTCCAGTTCAACAGCCCCAAACTCTCCTACTAGATTTCATCTCTGCTGGAACATGTAGACCAAGAAGAAATCGGTCTAGGAAAGAAAGTAATCTCCTTTGTGTGAGCAGTTCTCCCAGGAAGGATATGAGGATTTTCACATTCCATTCCCTGCACAAAGGCTTTTCCTATCATCCTCAGCCCCTTCCCAACATCAGCGACTCCTTGTGCTGTGCAGTCACCTACTCCTTGACATTTGGCACTGCTGTTGTGAACATTTGAGCCCCTAGGGCCAATTCCCGCCTTAACCGAAGAAGGCAGTATCTCTTTGAGCAGAACATAGCCAGGGTTTAATCTGGCATTCCAAGGCTTCTTGAGCAACTTTATGTTCAGCCAGTGTTGATCATAGGTGAGGTGATGAAGGCAGTACAGGACTTAAAAGCTGTCAGGCTGCCTTAGGCCAGAACTTGGCCGCAATGCTTGTGCTTGTGTGGAGACACACAAGAGATATGAGGCCTCATTGTGGAAAGAATGGCATGGGTAGCACCCAGAGGTTTTCTTTGCCCATGGCAGAGCAGGTATCTGTAGCACCATGCAGGAGCCCCCAAGCTACTGCCTTAGAAGAAACAGAGCCAAGCAACAGCAGAGCTCTACCCAGGCCTGCTAACCCTTGCAGGACTAGCTAGCATAAGCACAGAAATAGGATCACAAATTCCAGGTCTCCAGATTGCTTCCCCAATGCCCCAAGTCCTGCCCCATTCTCAGCTTTAACAGGGTTGTGCAAACTGCTTAAATTGTGTTGGGATGAGAGCTCAGCCTGTGCACCTCCACAGGTAGGAAGGTAAATAAATTTTGTTTCACGCACATGGCCAGTATTGCTGTACATGGGACGAGGCAGATTGAGAAGGTAAAAGCCAAGGCTTGAAAACTAGAGAGGAAGTAATAAACCACTGGGAATACATTGGTTTGAGTAATGCTTAGAATGTTTAAAGAGGTTAGATACCATTCTCAAGGGCTTTGTTTTCCTTGCCCTTCCACAAGTATATGCCTGTACCAGAGACTTAATTTTTGTGCATCTGGACTTACATTGACAAAATTTACACCACCTTTGCATAGGGCCCGGGCAATTCATCCAACAGCCCATGTGCAATGCAGATATTTGTGTAATTTACTGCCACAGGATGCCCTCCAGAGTTGCTCTGTACTTTATCAGTAGGTAACGTGTCACATCACTGAATTAACTTCCTTATTTAGATCTAACCATGAATTGAAATTGCAGAAATTTCCCTGGCAGCAGGGTACCTCGGGGGCTTCACCGTGGTGGTTGTAGCTGGCACTTGCACCTCCTCATTGCAGGAAACAGCCTTTGAAGCTCAGAAGTGTTGCTGCATCCAGGAGTGGTAAACTGGCTCAACTCCATAGTTTCTCTGTGCCCTCCTAGGACTGCAGGATTTTGCAGTGCCAATCATTGCACCCTGAGCCCTCCTACCTCCTGCAAGCGGTGGCAGTAGCAGCTACCCTGTAACACTTACTCTCAAGTCCCTGCAATGCATCAGGAAGGCAGGTGCTCACAGCTGCCAGATCCATAGTACCACTGGGACCACTCTCTTCAGCTTAATTTTAGTGTCTTGGAGGCAATTTGTCTGGACTGGTGACTCATTCCTCCCTCTTTAATTTTTTTCCCTGCCCTCCCCCTTCCTATTTTCTCTCTGGCTGTGCCTAGCAGTGTGAGTGAATGCCTGTACTGATATGACTCCTTGGTATGTGAGCTTAGGAAGATTAATGCAGCAGTGTTTTGGTGAAAGGATGTCCACAGCAACCAGGAGGGGCAGTCCCCACGGAGAGTAGTCTGGGTCTGGGTGTCCTGTCCCAAAGCCCGCATCCCATTCTCTGTGTGTCTCAAAAGGGAGACAACTGTTCCTTTGAACACATGGAGACTGAGAAGAGGAAAGGCAAAAGCGAAGGTGCAATCACCCCACTGCACACAATATTTGCACTTTACTGAGGAATGCAGGGGGCTCAGCTGAGAACTTTGCAACTTGGTGCATCAGTCGTGCCATGTCTCTTCATCCTATAGCGGCTGGGGCTCACCAAGCTCATCGTGGTGCCCATGCCTGGGTCGTTGTTGCTGAAGGAGGGGGCACAGCTGGTAGGTGCCTCCACCCAGCTGTCCCACTGGTCACTGCTTCAGGGCTGTGTCCCCCCAAGGTGCAACACATCGGAGACATGACAAGAATATGGTCTGTTTATTGAATCTTATTCACTACGCTGTAACCTCAGGGGCCTGGGAGGAAGGGCAGGAGCAGCTGGGGTGAGGCGAGTGTGGGGAAGTTGTGCAAACCAACACACCAGTGCTAAAGATCCACAACAGTCTTTCAAGCCGGCAGAAGTAAAAAAGCACAATGACCGCCACAAAGTGCTGAGCTCCGGGAAGCTGGAGCCGTCACTCTCCTGCGTGCTGGGCAGCACCTGGCATCAGGATGGGGCTGGGATCTATAGCCAAAAACATGACAGGCCTCCTAATACCAGCTCAACTATTTTCCTGCTCTCCTTCCCTCTGCCCTGGTGATGGTGGGAGTGTGAAGGGGCAGGGTCCCAACTAGGAAGCTCCCACTCTTCTCTCCCATCAAGCTTTGGCCAGCTCTGCCTCTCATCCTGAAGCCTCTCTCCTCTCTCTGCTGACCTGAGCTGAAGTGGAAGGGCAGTTAGGGACAATATGAGGAGTAAAGGAGTTCTGGAGGAAAAGCTGCTGCCTGCCAATGAACAGCAACACAAAAACCCCCTTGAGGTGAGCAGGGCTTGGTAAGAGGAAGGGCCATTGGACAGCTGCCATGAATAGGGAACAGATTTTTTTTTTTTTCCATTCCTCTAGGCAAAGGCTACGGCTTCGTAGCTCTCAGAGCAGGTCATCCCCAGGGCAGCCTGGATGTAGTTCCCCTCTGCAGCAGAAGGACAGACAGTTCTTGTCTGTGAGGACAACTGTGGAAAATCCTAGGCAGCCCTGCACCAGGAGATGGGAGCAAACCTGCCCATAGTCAAACAGAAAGGAGGGGGAATTTGTTCTGGGTTCCATCATCCCATGTCCCGTCCTTTCCCCAAGCAGGACTGCTGTCTCCCTCTCTCTTTGAGGGTGACCCATTCTACCAGGCTCAGCAGGTCACAGGAACCCAGTATCCCTGACCATCTGGGCCCAGGAACAGGAAAGTGTCGCTGGTGTCACTCCCTGGAATCCCTGTCAGACTTACTTGCTTAGAGGAGGCTGCATACACGTTTCTTTGTGCGGGTGGGCTGTGGACAGAGGACTGCTCGGATGGCCTCATCAAACACTGTCTTGAGGCCGCGCTGCGTCAAAGCTGAGCACTCGAGGTATTTCACAGAGTCTGTTGGGAGGAAGCTGGGTGTTGTAATGGGGAGGAAAGGAGCTGGGGTAGGCAGTGGGGTACCCAGGTTTCTGTTGCTTGTGCTAGAAAGCAAGGCACCTGCCTCTTGCCCGAATTCCTTAAATACATCTCAGGTGATCAAGGATATTATGCATTGTCAGGACATACTTCACTCACTCACAGTTTTGACTTCAGGGGAAAGCTTGCTAGCTGTACAAGGCCAAGGTTTGCCTATTCTCCACCTTTGTAGCCAGAGCAGAGCCACTGTGTGTGGCTGGCTATGTTATCCTGGCCAGACGTCCCCTCCGCTGAACTCCGGATTGAAAACTTCTCCCTTAAACTGTGTTTTTCACCCTCTGTACTACGTGTGCCATGTCCGAGAAGAGAGGAGCAAGAACTTATACATGTCCTGAAGTATGGAGGGAAGCTGATGCCCCTGAGTTGAATGGTAGCTCATACCTGGGGCTGCACTTCTAAGCCCCAGCAGACAGAAGCAGGAAGGGGAAGTTGCAGTTGCAGTTCTTCCTGAGAGATGTTAAAAACCTCACTCTTCTACCTCTTTCCGGATGTAGAGGAGAGGCCTCTGCCCACAATGCAGCTGTGGCTTTCACAGAAGAAAAATTTTGTCCCACATAGAAGTAGCAGAGTAAAAGGGGAGGGGAATGTGAAAGTATGTGTTTGTGTGTGTACGTGGAGGATGGTGACCAGAGAGAGGACTGCCAGTTTGAGATCTGCCTCAACAAGCAGATCTCCTTCCTGATTCTCCTGAAGTACATTTTGTCCCATGACCCCTGATATGTCTCCCAGTGTCCCTCAGAGATTTCACTGTGAGATACATCTACAAAAGCCTTATTAGGTTGAGGGGAAGCCCTTATTTTCTGTCTCTCTCCTTTCAGTAGGTCCAAGATCTTTCCCAAAACACATACCAATTTCCTTGGCCAGAGCAAGGCCCTGAGGATATGTAATGGGGGATAGCTTCTTCTCCTTCAGCTTCTCAATGGTGTCCTTGTCATCACGAAGATCCAGCTTTGTGCCCACAAGGATGATGGGAGTGCTAGGGCAGTGGTGCCGCACCTCGGGGAACCACTAGCAGTAGAGCAAAACAGCAAAGATGTGAGAAGAGGTCATACATACGGGCACGCAAAAGGGAAACAAAGAGGCACTCCTGAATAAAGGTCAGCAAGACAGGCTGTCCTTCCTCACATCCATTGCTGGGTACTAGAACCTGGTCCAGGCCAGTCCCTGTTGCTGACTCCTCAGGCAAAACCTAACATGGAACTCAAATTTTGTTAAGCAAAGGCACAAGCTGCTCTCTACCCTTCACCCTCCCATCCAGGAGGAACCTGAAAGTGGTAGGAAGGAAATATTGCTGTTCTCATCTTCATTACTCTCTCCCTTACTCCCTCACTTCCCATCTAAAGGCTGTAGGTACCTGCTTCTCATACCCTATGGACTGATCCTGCACCTCTGTGCTTTAACTGTCTTTGCTGAAAGATGCCATCAGAATATAAGTCTGTGGTCTGACAGCAAAATAGCCCAGCAAGATGAATACTAGTCCATTAGTAGGGTTGGCCACCCTCTTTGAGATGAACCAGAAAAGGCATTTGAAGGAGGGTGGTATTTTAGTTCCTTCTGAACCTAGAAGTCCTGTTGGTAGTCTCCTCCCACAGTCACTGTCTTTGCAAGACCACCATCACTCTCACCCCCCTCACCCCTGATGTACCAGGTTACTCCGTCTCACCTTAGCACGGACGTTTTCATAAGATGCCGGGCTGACAAGGGAGAAACAGATCAGGAAGACATCCTGTAGGCATACAACCATGGTGCAGTTAGGATGAGAGCATGGGATGGCATGACGAGGCAGGGAGGGAAGAGAAGATCTGTGTGGGCAGCACACTCCCTCTGCAGCAGAGGGTCATGCCAGGGGAAGCTGTTTCTCACAGTGTAACACAGTCCTAGTCCTGACTGCTGCTTCTTGCTTCTGAAGGAGAGAAGGACGTTTGCTCCCATGACTCATGGTAACCATAGCCACCACTATCAGAAGAGCCAGATTGTCAACTATGAGGATGGGGTTTTTGTGGTTGGCACACTCATCCTCATGGGAAATGTCCTGACAGTGTCCTGCTCATTTCTCACAGAACACCAGAGACCTTTCAGGCCAAAATAATTTTTTGCCTACAGTTGAGACAGAGCTAGGCTCAACCCAAAAAGTGCACACACAGGACTCAGATGAGGTGGAGTTTCAGTTCTTCAGGCAAGAGATTCTCCTGGGCATGGCAGAGTTTAGACTTCCATTATAATCAAACCAAATCAAACCAAAACAAACCAGTCCATCAAGGTGATAATTATTTCATCCAGCTTCACCTAGCTGGAACAGTGATGTCAGACCCAGCCCATCTGTTTTCATATTTCTAGAACCATAATAGACAACAGCCTAGGAGAACCATTCCCCCACCTTCCCTTGAGATGCATCCTAGAGTGGGTACAAGCACATTGCTGAGAAATATGCCTACTTGTACTGACTGCAGAAGCAGCTTAGGCAAACAGCTTTTACCTGGTGTCTGATTTTTAAGTGACTGAACTGAGCCCAAACAAATAGTGGCCTCAATTGCCAATCTTTTTGATTGCAGGGGCAACCTTCAGACCAGCGCCTGATGCAGCAGGGTCTTTCTGAGCTTGCTAAAGGACTGCTCAAAACAATATTCTCTAGGGAAGGTAATCCTTAAACCCTGAAATTACTTAGTCAGTGTGATGAAAAAATGGTGAACACACTATCTGAGGCATCCCTTTGTTCCGCTCCAGGCATTAGCAGATCAAACAGGTGTCCACACATCAGATATCTTTTAAAAGGCAGAAGCCAGAATAGTGGGTTAGCAAAATATGAGAAGCTCCTGCCTCAGCTCCTAAATTCTCCAAGCCACTTCAGCTTTACAAAAGGAGATTTTTTTTTACCAGGGCTGTGTAAGGCATCTGCCCCACACTGAAGTTGGTGTCAGCTGGCTTCAAAACTGTCTTTGAATGTTTCGCTTTTCTTGCTCAGTTATACCAGTAATGGAAGATTAGACTAAGGCTCCAAAATATCCTTAGCTGTCTTTTAACTTTTGGGTTTCAAGGCACTTGTATATCAATAGAGATATTCTTAGAAAAATGCAGAGACACTAACAGTCCTGTCACTGTTTCATGGGGTGTGTTGATTTTTGCAGTAAGGGATGGAGGTGTATCTGAGGGAGGAGGGGAGGAAGGGCATGGAGTGTGACCCACCGTCTGCGGGTAAGAGAGTGGCCTCAGCCTGTCATAGTCTTCTTGTCCAGCAGTATCCCACAGTCCCAGGTTTACAGGCTTGCTGTCAACCATCACGTTGGCAGAATAGTTATCAAACCTGAAATTCAGAGACATAGGTCATGGATCAAACAGGAGAAGAGGGAGTCCTTCCAGTAGTGTAGGTGGGGTTCACTAGCTACATGCAGGAGCAAAGGGTAGAGATTCCTCTTCTCAGGTCATCTGAGTGATGCAGTGAGCCTCCCCCTTATGGATTTCCCACTCTGCATCAACCTCCTCCCTACTGCTCAGCTGTCCTGGACAGGTGCTTGGCCGCAGCCCAACCTTTGATACCTTACATGCAGATCCACAAACCCTTTGATTTGCCCTTTCTTTCCCCAATATCCTTCCCACAACTATGACTACTCTTTCACCAAGCCCTTGTCTCTTTAGGGTTTTTTCTCTTTTTTTATGTTCTAAAACCTAGTTTTAAAACTAGTTTAAAAGTGAAGAAGAACTCCTGTCTCTGTAGCTCCCCCAGAGCCCTGCACTCCTGAACAGCCCTGCTGGAATTGAGGACAGTGTGTCCCCTTACTCTTTGACAACTCAGCTTGAAATATTTGAGAACAGCTGTCAGGATTGCACACTTGGGAGTAGAGACTTAATGGGAAAAAAAGGATATTGAAACAATAGAGATGTTCTTAGAAGTTTTTATTTCCTGGTCCTTTTGGTGTTTTTTTTTACACACTAAGGCAAGGGAAACCAGTGATAGGAAGGCACCAACACAAAGGCCTTGTGAATGTGTTCATGGCGTACGCTGACATCGTAAGAGACATGATTTAGTAGTGGACTTGGCAGTGCTAGGCTAATGGCTGGACTTAATGATCTTAGAGGTCTTTTCCAACCAAATCTATGACTGCTCCAATGACAGAAAGTGCCTTGGACAAGGAAGGAAGTGGGGACCCATGTCCATCCAACTGCCTTCTCTTGGATCCAGCCCAATTCTTGTAGCCTAGTGCCTGTTTTCCTAGAAGGATCCCATCTACTACTTGTAAACTTAGAAAGCAGATAGACCTTGAGTTGGCTTGAGCCTCCCAAATATCCCATTTATACCAGCATTTTATAAGGCCACTCATGCTTCTGGCAAAAAACTAGAAGATCCAAAGTGTAAAGCTCTCTTGCTGGCTTGGCAGACCTTCCTCTACTTGGCATGGAGATTGTGACCAATGGAGCACGCAACAAAGGGTTACTGCACCTCTTTGCATGCTGCTTTCCATGCCTCCCACCCACTCCAGGACCTGTTTATGCATTACTCACACAGTGGGAATGTATTCTCCTGGGAAGGCATTGGTGGTATAGCTGATAAGGAGACAGGTTTTTCCCACAGCTCTGGAAGAGAAAGAAAAAATAGTAGGAAATCATGGCAGGGCAGGTAGTCTTGCTAGGGTGAGATGGAGATGGGGCAATCCTTCCACACTTCCAAACTAGCCCTGTCAGGTGACCCCTGGAAGTAGAAACACATTCACAGGACCAGACAGCACATAACCATAGGTTAGAAAACCAGCATAAAGAAAGACAGGATGTCACCCAGAAATGTTTGTTGTCTATGAGCATGAAGGCTTGTTTTTATGGTCTAGTACAGAGATCACTCAGCTAAAACGCATCCACTCTGAGATGGAGGTAAGAGCCTCACATTTTCCAGAGCTTGCACAGTGCTGTATACTCACAACCAGGGCTGGTGCACTGATTCAGTGCCATGACAAAGCTGCCAAGCCAGCCTCAGCACTCAGATGCAGGCACTCCTGCCTGCTTTTGCAGGTGTTGTGGCCAGGAACCGGTAGCAACTCTTCCTGACTTAGCCATGACATGTCTCAGTCTTTTCTACCTACAGTAAGCTGCAGCATCACCCACACAGACAGCTGTAAGCAGCCAGCAAGGTGCCTGTACCCCATGGCTGACAGAGGCTGTTGGTGATGTTTCTGAGCTAAAAGCTGGTGCTTCCTCTCTCCTTAGCCACCCACACATCCATGCTGCAGCAGGGTCGAGCGCGAATAAGCCAGTGTAGCAGCACAGTCCAGACCGGGTGAGAGTACTGGTGGTATAAGGAGAAATAAGGCTGTAAAGTAGAGGAGGATTTTTTGTGAGCAAGGTGAAGAGTGTGGTGAGGGAAAGAATAAGTAAAGAGAAATTGGTAGAAAATAAAGCAGCCAGGACAAGTGCGGGAAAAAAAATCCTTCTCCTGCTGGGATGCTATTTCTCAGTTTTGTGAGGCTTGGAAAAACCCAGATAGGTTTCAGATAAAGAACGCATGAGGTGGAGGTGATGAGAGCAACCTGCCTCTGCTAGCACAGCTATAGGATGTGGGAGATGTCTTTCCTGAGACAGATGGTTTTCCTGGGACATTCCTATTTCCTGGGAATGCTGAAACCATCTCAGCTGTACCTGCAAAGTCCCTGTCACAGACCTGCAGCCCTGCCTTTTTGTGTGCCCTTGACAGGCATGGCTAGCATCTTCACCATGGCCACAAGGCACCTGCCTCAGTCACTGGACTGTGGGGCAGCTGAGGAAAAGCTGAGCTCTTTGGCTTTGCTCTGATATTTGTTTCTTCCTTCTGCCACTCCTCTTTCTTGGATCTTTCTCTCTCAGTCCCTGCATTTTCCCCAGCTCCATTGCTTCCCTGTTATCACTGAGATATTGAGGGAGGGCCATGGAGGCTTCTTGAAACTCTACAGGTGATATTTCAGGAGTTCTATGGGCCTGTGAGTGCATCAGTCATGGAAGAGAAGCAGGTTCTGAATTGGTGTGGTTGAACAGAGAGGAGTACAAAGGGTCAGTGAAGGGGTGAATGGTAAAACACAGAGGTGAGGTTAGTGGCACCTGGAGGTTCCTGTGACTGAACTCAGGGAGTGTTAAGAGGACAGTGATGTGTGATAGGGGGGTCTATGGGGGCAGAACAGCTATGGGGCAACATGCAGGCTTAGCTGAGTAATGTGGTTGGCAGGGTTGAGCCAAGGGCGTGACATGGCTGGTATGGCTGTGAGGGAGGTGAGAGGTGGTGAACCAAGAGCTCAGAGCAGTGGGGGAATAACTGCACTGCTGTGTTGCAAGATGGTGAGAGGTGTACAGAGAAGCAAAAGGATGGGACAGAAGGCATTTAGGAGGAATTGAGGTCAGAGGGGTTGAGAGCAGGATGTGTTGTGGGGTTAGCCATGATATGAGGGGAATATTGCCTTGAGGAACGGCTACAAAGTTGGTGCAATGTGTGAGGGGCAAATTAGGGAGGTGGGTAACAGGGCAACAGAGAAATGCCCAATGGAGTTGTTCATCCAGCTCTAGCTTGAAGCCTTCAGGGGACTTTTCTTAGAGATAAAGTTTTTTATTTGGAGACCTGTCTTTCCTTGTCCCTTCTCCCCGTCCCCTTTCTCAAGCCCCTGAGAACATGTCTGACACGTACTCTTATGTTTGCAGACAACTTCTTCCCCAGGCGAGCTTTGAAGGAGGAAGTGACTGTGGGGAGCAGGACTGCTGCAAGTGCCTCTTCATTTGCTACCTTACAGCTGCCCCAGATAACAGCCTGGCCAGCTTCCAGATGGGAAATGAATTAAGCTACTTCATTCTGAATATGGACTTTCCTCTCTCCCTCCATTACATCTACTCATCCCACAGGGCAAGAAGAGACCCTGTCCACTCTATCCCTCCTGCTCTCCAAGTGGTGATGACTGTTTCACTTACTGATGGCTTGGATCGGGCCATTTCCAGGGATCATGGGCAGCAAAGCCACCATGATGTGAAGGCAAGGTTTTGTTACCTCCCACCCCCAAAGTGGCCTGACTCCTGCCTACAGGGTTGAATTTGACAGGAACACCATCACCTCCTGTGCATGGGACAGGATAGCCTTCAAAATGCCATATTCTCCCTAGAGGAAGGTCCCTTGCCCTGGGGAAGGAGGAGCAAGCAACTAGTAGCAAGCCTGCAGGAGGTCAGAAGCAAAGTTGGGGAGGTTTCATGAAGCAGCCACCTCTTTTTCATGTCCTTTGTCACTGCCTATCCCTCCCCACAGCCACAGCAAACACGCAGGGTACTTACCCGTCTCCCACCACGACACACTTGATGGCTTGCATGGCTCTGGATCTGTAGTGGAGGACAGTGCCCGGGGAAAAGGAAAGTCAGACCAGGGCAAAGAGCAAGGAGAGATGGGCAAATATGGGTATCAGCCCTTGTGCTTCAGTCAGTAGCAGGTTGCAAGGAGGGAGGAAGTGGAAGAGGGAACTTTACTCAATGATCACCCTGTGGTCCCTCCTCCCCTCCCACCGCAATGTAGCTCTGCGGCAGAGGCCGTTAGCTGGAGGTGGAGCAGGCGTGGCTTCATGGCTCGGATAATGACTACTGTAATATTTTTTGTTCTCCCTATGTGTCTCACACACAGTCCCTTCCCATCTCATCGCAGTGAATGGCTGAGGGCACCAAACCGCTTTTCCAGGGGAGCTGAACAAGGGTTAGAAGTGGGGTGAGAAAGCAGAGGGGTGGATTTTTCTCTTCCCTCCTTTATTATCCAAACTTTGGAGGAGATGTTAGCAGGGAAGGGCATCTGAAGTGGGAGTAGTGGGGTGATGAGGGTTAATGAAGGTTTTTCAGGTCTTCCCAGTGCCCCTAAGCATCAAGGGTGAAACATCACAAGGAACAACTCCTCTGTGAAGGCTGAACAGTGAATTTATGCAGCCCTTAGGAAGCAACTGCCACCATATGGCTTCTGCTCTATCCTTTTGCTCCTGTGGGGATAAGGTATTCCCCCACTTTCTCACCTGCCCCGACTTCTAGTACAAAGATGTGTGAACCTGTGTGTTCACCGTGAAGGTGAGCAAATGCATCAAGGGATGCAATGAACTATTTTCTCTCCTCTGACAGTACTATGAGAGCCAATACTGGTGGATGAGAGAAACCCCTGCAAACCACTCTCTCCTATCCAACCTCTCCTCTACTCCTGGGCAAAAGCAGCCAGTGGAAACTTCTGCCAGACCCCTTCTTTCTTGTCATAGAATAATTTGGGTTGGAAGGGACCATTAAACGCCATCTACTCCAACGCCCTGCAATGAGCAGGGACACTTCGACTACATCAGGTTGCTCAGAGTCCTGTCCAATCTGACCTTGAATGTTTCCAGGGATGGGGCATCGACCACTTCTCTGAGCAACTTGTTCAAGTGTTTGAATCTGGTTTGAATCTACCCTCTTTTAGTTTAAAACTATAACCTCTTGTCCTGTCACTACAGGCCCTACCAAAAAGCCTGTCCTTGTCTTTCTTATAGGTCCCCTTAATGTATTGAAAGGCTGCAATAAGGTCTCCCTAGATTTTCCTCTTCTTCAGGCTGAACGACCTCAACTCTCTAAGGCAGTTCTCATTGTCCTCAGAAGATAAAAGATTTGTAGAGCTAAGCATCAAGAGAAGCAAGCACCCTAAGAAAGAAGAGACAAAGAGCATGATGATCCCAGGAAGCTCTACCCTTTCCTTTCCCTTATCAAAATAAGGGTCTGCATCTTCTTCCTTCCTTCTCCTCTGTGCACAGTTAAGCCTGGAAAAGCATCTGTGTATGAATATCTGTGTGCTCCAGCCTGAACTGAGGAATGGATGGGCTGGAGATGCGTTTTACAGAAGATGGGCTAAGGTGGCACAGAATTAATAGAATTTCCAGGCTTTGTCAGGACGCCATTTAGACCAAGAACAATGAGTTTGCAGCTGGGATATTCCAGAAGGAAGGATCTTTGAATAAAAGCATTTCTCCAAAGGTCAGTGACCTTTGTGCTGCTGCAGCCATGGGAGGCTATTGTGACTGATCTGTTCTGAAGGAGAGCTCTCCCATCTTTCACTCAGAACTGGCCACAACCCAGAAACTTTCAACCATTTCCAAGTCTTGCAGCTATTTCAGAAGCACAAAGTGACCAGCTGTACTAGGTGTTCCCTCTGTGGGGGATAGGGAAAGGGGTGGAGGGAAACCCACTGACACTTCTGAAAGTGAGAGCAAGAACAGGCCACAGGAATACAGGTCAGAGAAGGACATAAGGGAGAGGGAAAAGGCTGTTACAGAGGGGAGCTGGGAAGGACAGGCAGACAGAGAATGTAATGGGCCAGGGGATAGGGACTCAGAAGAGAAAGCACATGTATCTGGTTCTAGAGAATGCTACTGGAGAATGGAGAACAGCCATGATAACTCCCTGGGCAATCAGACGCATTGAGAGCTCTCTGTGGGAGACATCCGGGTGACAAGTGAGGGCTCAGGGAGCTGGAACTGATGGAGTATCTGGAGATTCAGGGAACTCTAGGTTGGGCAAGCAGCCTGGGACAGGCAATCAGCAACTTAACCCCTTTCTCGTAATACTGCAGTTGGAATCAGCTTCTCCAAAGGAACAGTTTCGTTTTCCCCATATATTTTCTCTGAAGGTTTTCAGTAAATCTCATGTGTCTGGGAAGAAGCAGGCAGGAAGAAAAGAAAACACCTGGAGTGAGAAGGATGGCAACTGAGGGGAAAGGAGCTGGGGAGAGCTGGAGAATACACTGAGTCTTACCTGGGAGAGAGCAAGTCATTTGACAGTGCTAGGGATGGGATTCAAACTAAGGCAGACTGGATGGAAAACTGACCATTGGCACAATAGAACCTGGTAGCAGGGATGAACAAGGACCTGCTGAATGCTAGTGTATGCTTCTGTTCTTGTTGTCTAGCACATTGGCTTATGGGACTGGCAGTGTGTAAGAGACTGGAGAAGAAGAAAACCAGTTAAATTGGTCAGGGAGGAGGGATTGTTGTGGAGAACCCAAGTTCAGGTAAGCCCCATGCCAAAGACACTGTAAATTCTGCATGGCCAACAATGAGCTGTGGAAGTCCTGGCAAGAATCCATTTCTGGGTAAATTACTTTTGGAAGATGATTCCCTGCAACCACTATGGATAGTCAGTTCTTGTCCAGTCAGAGGTCTGTGCTGGGAATCCTTCCTCCACAGTGCCTCTGTAGGGGAACAATAGGGATCTACATAAAAGCTTCTAGGATGTTTCTTTCCATCATATTTAAATTTTTAAGGAAGGGCTATTACATTCAAATAGCATATATAGTAATAACTCTGAGAACAACTGGCACCTGCTGCATTAAAATCTCTCATTTGTACATGCTGCAGAAAAAAGAAGGAAGGTGCAGAAAGGAGGTCCATAACCCCAAAACGAGCACATATAAATCTGTTGCTGCTGCTGCTTTGATGTCCTCTTACACCACCAAGAGGTGCTCTTGACATGAGTTTCCTTCTTCATGCGCAGTGGGGCTGAGGGAAGGCAGGCACACATTTAGGGTTTCTTATTCCCTTCCCTGAGTTTGAGGGAGACACTTACAGGAAAGAATTGCTCAGTGAGACAGTTTTACTGTCTTTTCAGGGTCCTGAGCTGGGTCACAAGGGAGGAAATGCATGATACCATTTTTCCCCCCACAAGGACCTAAAACAGCGAGGATCACGTATCTCTCCCTCTCTTTCTCTGGTGTTCTGCCTCTTCAAGGATGATGGGCAAAGGGTAAGGGGGAGTCTTTTAGAAATGGTGTCTGCACATCACAGCCCTGCACAGGAGGGCAGGAGCTGAGCAGGAGGCTTGTCCTTCAGCACAGACAGAGTAGTAGGGAGGATTCTTTCACGGAGGAAGCACAAGGTTCATTTCTTTGCGCACAAAAGACATGGTCACAGCATGTATCCTCATTTCCCTGGGTCCTGATAGGATCTATTTGAAGTGAGCTCTCTCTCAGGCAATCCTGAGTGACCATGAGAACTTTTCTCTGTGCGCTGAGCTCCCACCAGGGTTAAGAGCAGCTTGCTTCAGCCTGACTGGGCTGCAAACTTGCAATATTCCCTTTTTGCACCTTCCCACTTCCCCATTGACACAGCTTCATGCCATCTGTCCCCTGCTTTTAGTTCTTGCTTTGCTGCTTCTCTTTTCCAAAATTCCCACCCCCCCTCACTGCTGCGGTTTATCAGGCTGCCACACTTCTTTGAAAAGCCTGACCTAACTTCAGAGCTCAGATCATAACTGAAGTGGGTGATGATGTTCTGCAATCCCTGTTCGGGAGGTTGCAAAGTTGTTTCATACCCGGTCTATTTTCTGACATGGCCATACCAAAGGCCCCTCTAGCCAAAATTCATTCTGTCAAGAAGAAGCTTAGAAAAAGAATGAAGTTTTCAATCCAGTCTCACTGAACACAAACTACTTACATTTACATCCATCATAAGCAACTCATCTTGCAAATGGTGTTTACTGAGTTCTGAACCTGTCTTATTCATGCACTTTTGTGGAGACCAGCCTTACTGCAATCAGGGGCAGGTGGTCCATTCCTGATACCCTGTGTTATGCAGGCTCCTCTGTCTTCAGAGTAACTGCTCTCAGCCTTCCTGCTTTGGGACAAAACAGCAGGTCTGCTGCTATTCTCCTACCTGGAGCACTGAAAGGGGTTCCCCTCCTCCACCTCTTCTCCATTATGTATCTGGGTAAGCAGAAGACCGTGGCGCAGACTTTTGGACATCAAGGTCTTTGTGATGGCTGTTTCACAGTTGCATTTCCCTCAACTAAGAAATTGTTCACAAACCCCGTATCATACTGGATTTTTTTATGGCTTGGCCTTGTCTGATTCCCTGTACTTCTGCAGGTCCCCAGTGATCATGATATGGGCTTCCATTCCCATACACATTTTACTCACAGACAGAGACAACCCCATCTCACTGATACCAGCCTGCTACCTTAATACATATTTTTACTGGTAAGTGATGGTGTCTTCTAGGAAGGCTGCATCAAGGAAGTGAAAAGAGATGTTTAGAGGACTAAGGAAATCTATAGCTACTCTGTTTTACAAGACTAATATTTCCTGAACTACCAAAGTAAAATTTTGTGCTTCCCTTTTACCATTTTATTTCAAAGGCATAAACCTTCAGTTTTGCTGTACTTCCAAGTCCAACAAAAAAATCCCTCTGGCTCTTCATTCAGGTTTATCAGATTCTAAGTGACCCTTCTGTAATCTTTATAAGAAGGGTGGTTTTTTTGCCTGCAGCCTTTTAAAACTACCATTTTTCTACCTTTTAAATAGACTCCAGTCCCTATACCCAACCTGAATGGCAGCCTAAACCTCCTGAAGGGGCTATTGAATTTGTACAGACCTGTACTTTGTTTCTGTGTGGATAGTTGTGGGAGTAGAGTTAACATGTTCAGCACAGAAAAATACGTGGCACTTTGTCACTGTCTTTATCCCCTTGAAAGTAGTAAGAAATATTTATATTTTTTTTGTTC